CCTGTATACATATTTAAGGGTATAATTGAGCGTCAAAGATAAGCAGCCGAGTGCGATAGGCGCAACGCGCCCGCGCTCATATACGCACTGTTTTATTAATAAAAATCAAGTTATCTGAAACCAAGAAATTTGTAAACTTATAATTATCTGTAACAGTTACACGAAAATAATTGTCCGCTGAGGTTTTCGCAGTGGAAAAGTGCTCAGCTGATGCAGTAAAGGATGCCACGCGCCCGCGCGCATAGCAATGCGCCGTATGTTTCAGTCAGCTGAGCACTTTTCCACCGCGAAAAGCTCAGCGAACAATTATTTTCGTGAAACTGTTAAAGTCGACTATCACTTCCCCAAATTTCAGCTTTCTTAGTATAAGTTTACTCAGCGCATATTTTTCGCATGTTTGGGCGGGAAGCTGACATACAACCCCTCACCATGAAGTCAGCTGACTACTATTTTCCGTTTATTTAGATCATAATAAACGTACAAACAAAGTCTTAGCTTTCTTTATGTCTGTTTTTTTTAATTATAATTATACGTGTGTGGGTGGCTGCCGCGGCAACACCCACCGCAAATGCGCAAGCTGACGTTCACTTTGTTTAGTAGCAATACTAAATGAACCGTACAGCAAAATCTTAGGTTTCTTAATTTTGGTCATAAAAAATGGCAGCTGGCTCTCGGACTAAGTAATTTCATCCGTTGATAACGGAAATGGAGGGGACACCTACATATATACAATATTTATATTTACATGTAGAAGAAATAAATGTATTCAGGACAAATAATTGACAACTGATTGATGTCATAAATAACTGGATTACTGATTTGTAAATTATATAAGAAATAAGATATATAAAGCATTAAAAGTATACAATAACACATGTAAAAACGAGAGTATGAAAAAATATAGGAGTGTTTCTTTTATACTATTTTATTAAATTTAAATAATGATATCTCGTATATCACACACGTGAGAGTTTGCTTTCATTCTTGTCAATAGATGTATCCTTTACAATTAGGAAGTTGTTGTATCTATAAATTTTGTTCGGTGACAAAGACGCGTACGGTAGTTTGTACAATTCACTTCTTTCTCGCGTACATGAGAAACGCCAGGATATGACAAATCATCGTAATATTCTCTAACTGAATGTTTATGATACATATTTTTCGAGCATTTATCGACGTTCGCTATCCACAAAACGTGCTGAGCATCGCGTAGACACGTCTCCTTGTCCAATTTTAAAATACCTTTTAAAATACCGCTATTATTAGACTTGATTACACCAATCAACATAGGCTCGCGGTTTTATCTTGCACAAGAAACAAAACAGATACACTTTTATATTTGGCATATGGTGTTGTAACATAATCTTTTTCTATCTATAATAATATAAATTAAATTAAAATCTTTAATGTTTGATATAATTAATACATAACAATATAATTTATAAGATTTATTATAAAAAAAGCTAATCTTTTCTTTTTCTTTTCTATTCTGTTCCTCTTGCTTTTTTTCGAAATTTTTTTCGACATCACTTTTATTTTTTTTTTTTTTACAAACTTTCGTTTCTTTGCCTCTTCTTTCACGATTTCAAGAAGTATTTTATCTATGACCAGTTTTATCCATGTTACAGTTTCTTCATATTTTAGGAATACTTCAAGGAGTTTCTCGTCCATACTATCATCCAAAACTAAAGAATTTAAAGAATATTATTTTTTATTAAAAAAAAATAAATTATTATATTTATATAATATTTAAATTTACTTTTTCTAAATTCTTCAATTTCTTTCTTTTTATTATCCATTTTCTGAATAAAAATATCCGGAATCTTCGTGTCTACAATTTTTTCTGATAGATTAATATCTTTTTAAAGTATTGTTACGTTCTGTGGACTCCACGATTTCCCTTTTTCGCGGAAACCTCTTAAAAATTTAGAACAGCTCTTAAGATTAAAATCAGAACTGAGCACGGACGGTTATCGATTGGCGAGTGAGCTTTGATCTCCTCACATTCCTTTTTTTATAACTAGTTATTTGCCCAGGCGACAAAGCGACCTTCCAGATTGAAGTACTGACAGACGGGGCATACGTGATCGAATTTTTTTATCAACTTTGTCTGGCCCATAACTATAAACCCGGCGACGCGAGGCGCTAAAAGGGCCTTAATCCCAGACGGAGTTTGCTTAGGATCTTTATTGGATCGCGCGACTAGCTCAAAATTGCCCGCGCAATGTTCCGACAAACAGAAACGAGGTCTAAAACGTGCTTTTGTAATTCCTGTAAAAGCACGTGGCGGAAGTTTCTGTTTGCAATAAAACTACGATTAAGATTAGATGGTGTTTAAAGAGGAAAGAGTAAGCTCGTAGAACAGAGCTCCCGAGTCTGTAAACACACTCACACACGCACTCACCCAAACACGCATACACACACGCGCGCTAGAAGCACACACACGAGAGATAGAGAGAGAGAGAGAGAGAGAGAGAGGTCCGAAACCTACGCGAGGCCGTAGCACAGTTCACCGCCGCGGCACGGCTAGGAGACCGTTGCGCACTCGTCGAAGCGCAGGGCACTACTTTACTACGCGTTGCCACCGCTGGAAGACGGAGCAGGGCAGCAACAGAAGTTGTCGAGTCTCCTTTGCGATAACACGTCTCTAGTGTTAAGCTTCCGAAATATATCGTAACGTTCTCAAGGCGATCTATACCGATTATACGTATCCCCGAGTCTCATAACCACGGAATCAAGATCCGAGAAATAATCGGAACATTCCATACGGATCTCATGCGATACTATTATAAAGGAAGGAAGGAAGGACGTTTTCGACGACGGCTATTAACAAAACACGTTGTTGTTTAATCTGCACCGGCCATTACGGTCGTAAAGAGCATTCCACATGTAATACATTAACTGCTCATATATACGAGTATTTGATACACCACAAAGTAAGTCACCGGCTTCTGTATTACAATCAGAGATCATCTGACTGACAAGTAACACTACCCAAGTGTAAATCGCCGATTTGGATAATTTTTTAATATGTTTTAGTAGACGTAAAAATAAGACATACGTATTTTTTTTTATCGACGGAAAACCATATTTAGGGTGTAAAACACCCTTTTGAATTTATGGGTATCGATTTAATTGTTTTGTATATAAGGATTCAGTATTTTCGGCCCAAACCAAATAAAATAGTTGCATTATCAAGAGATATGAAAAATGAAAAATTTTCGACTCAGTTCGATCATTTTTAGGGGGTAAACCACCCCCTGTATTTAAAACAAAAATTTAAAAAATGCCCAGATAATTGCAAATTTCATTCAAAAATTTTGAAAAAAATATATGTTACACTCGCATCCAAAACAAAAGTGAGATTATTTGAGGATTTAAGGGTGACCACCCTTTTATCGAATTTCTTACGTAATATTTAGAGCATCGGCAAAAAATGTCCGTTTTCGGTACCTCGTTTTTTGAAACTTTTTTTATGCCAAATGGTTACTTATGATGACCCAATAATTCCTGAAAAATTTCAAGAGGAGCATACGCCCCGTTTAAGAAATATAGGGGGTCAAAGTTGACCATATCCAATCAGAAAATATAGCAGCTTCACATTTATACTCCAATAATAATGCCCAAAAAATTCAGCCGAAATAGTTTTTTTAAGATTTTTGGCTGCTGATTACAAATCTGAAGTCAGATTTTAAAAATTCAAAATGGCGGATCCAATATGGCGGACAAATTTTTCTTAAATTCATCGGATTTACTTGAAACTCGTTACTCGGGGATTTTTGGGGTCGCTGATTACGAATCTGAAATCAAATTTTAAAAATTCAAAATGGCGGATTTAATATGGCGGACTGATTTTTCTTAAATTCATCGGATTCACTTGAAACTCGTTACTCGGAAGTTTTTGGGGTCGCTGATTACGAATATAAAGTCAGATTTTAAAAATTCAAAATGGCGGATCCAATATGGCGGACTGATTTTTCTTAAATTTATCGGATTTACTTGAAACTCGTTACTCGGGGGTTTTTGGGATTGCTGATTACAAAATTAAAGACAGATTTTAAAAATTCAAAATGGCGGATTCAATATATCCAACAAAGGCAAGATGTAATAATCCAACCAACGAAGGCAAGATGTAATGCATAATCCAGCCAGCAAAGGCAAGATGTAATCGACAATCCAATTAACGAAGGCAAGATGTAATGCATAATCCTGCCTTCGTTGGTTTGATTATTACAACTTGCCTTTGCTGGCTAGATTGTTGATTACATCTTGCCTTTGCTGACTGAATTATGCATTACATCTTGCCTTCGTTAAGCCGGCTACACACGTTCCGGTAGAACTGTCAGGTATGCCTGCGCAGGCACGCCTGTGCAGGTCTACCGGAACGTGTAGATGATAAAACTGCGCAGTTATTTTGACCTGTGCAGGCGACCGGAGCAAATACGAAAAATCATTCGATATGTCTGCGCCGGAGTGGCCTGCGCAGACAAACCGGAGCGTGTGTACCATCAAAAAGAAGCCTGAGAGCGGCCATTGGCGCGATTTAGCTATCGAATATCGATATTATATGTATATCCATGAAGAATGGAGATAAGGAGGCCGAACTGGCATGGAAAAATTGTCAAAACGTGCGACCGAATCCCGAGCCAAGTGGTAGTATACTAATGCTCCGCAAGGGAGCGCTTTCATTTCATGGGACTCACACGTACATGGTATGTACATACACACACATCTCTATCCTTTATGGATATATCGAAAGCCACTATTTTGTTTTTAGTATAGATGCTCATAAGGAGATGCTAAAGGAGGAAAGTTAAATTGTTAAGAAAAGAAGAAAGTAAGTATTTTCTAAATGAAATTACTGTAGATATTTTTCTATTGTTGTTTTTGTTTCTGACGTTTTTTTAGTTCAGTTCCCGCGTCGCCTCAGACACAAACTTTAGTGCGAAAAGCATGCGGTTTCTTTGTTTTGTGTTCCCGTTGATTTGATTAGCAACGAAATGACGTCCCGCAGACTTCAGGAGTGCATAGAAGAATTTATCGAAATTTACAGAAATGAACCTTGCCTATGGCAAATTAAGTGTAAAGACTACCACGATCGTGCAAGGAGAGAAGCAGCGTATTCAAAATTGGTTGAAAAATTGAAAGAGGTTGAACCTTCTGCCAACAAAGAAAGTGTAGTGAAAAAAATCAATAACATTCGAAGCAATTATCGAAAAGAATTAAAAAAAGTTAAGGCATCATCGAAAACAGGATCGGGTACAGACGACATTTACGAACCAAAATTATGGTATTTCAAACTCCTATGTTTCTTGAACGATCAAGACATTCCTCGAAAATCCCGTACAAATATTGAAAGCGATAACGACGAAACAAGGATTGAAGTAAGTTAAATAAACATATTTAATTTTTTATGCATGTTATATTTAAACAAAGTGTGTGAAACGTAAAATAAAGCGTGAGATATGGTGTAAAAAATAGCTTAAAAAAAGACAACGTTATTCAAATGTGAACTTGTTAAATGAACTGCAGTTTGTACCTAAAGATTGGCATAATAAACACATTGCAACCTTAGGTTGTGACCGTACGGAGGCGTGATTAACCCCACGTTACGCTCAATGATTGTTTTTTGATATTAATTTATGTCACCGACACGGTCGCCACTCGATTTTCACCCGACAAACCGAGAAAGGATATTATTAAGCTAGTGACGGGTTTGCCCCACCTGGTTTACGCCGACCTCGCTGATTCCTCTCAACACCTTCATCCTCTGTTTCAGGTTTCCTCGTAGCTGCCGGATCTTGGATCGCCTGCTGGACTCAGCTTCCCGGACTCTCTCACTGGACGGCCTCAGCTGTGCACTGACGACTTCGCCCCGGACCGTGGCTGGACCGCTTCTTGGATCTCCCCGAGCGTCGTAGGATCGCCGATGATGGATCAGGTAAGTATCAGGATCAGGTAAGTATCAAGCAAGTATTCAGGATAAGGTATTGGCCCGCACTCGAATAATTGTTCAAATACTACCGTTTCAAATAGTAAAATATCCTCTATTTTATTCTATTCCAGATAGTACAAGATGATAATGAAGATGTGAAAAGATTTTAACGCGTCTACCGCGGGATTGTTCGACACCGAGTCTAAGTTTCG